ACCAGACCAAGAGTATTGACCTACACACGCAAAGGGATAGGGATGACGGTGGAGCAGCAGAGGCCTGTCCACACGAGAGACGTACTGTGGCTGGTGGTCGACAAAACGACGACTATCGTCAACGTGTACAGACAACCCCGCGACCCCCACAGCCGCACAACAGGGATACTGCTAGAACTCAAACCCCCGGAGCGAGCTTTGATCGCGGGTGACTTCAACGCGCATCACTACTCTTGGGAGCCCGGGACGAGGAACGGGAACCGGGGAGATGACATTGCAGGCTGGGCAGACGGCCACAATCTCTCTCTTATCAGCGAAGTTGGGGTGGCAACCCAGGATTGCGGACATGTCCTGGACCTGGCTTTCTCTAATATCCCTTTTGCGCACGCGCAGGTCAGCCCACAGCTACACCCGGGAGCTGACCACGAGGCCATCGTGGCCGTCATACCACTATTCAAACGCCCAGTGTCACAGGGAGAGGGCCACCCGCAGCCACGGCCACTGTCAGTGCCCGACTCGGCGCTGCCTCGGCTGAGAGACCTGATCGAAGGGGGGCTAGCTGCGATGCCCAATCTGGGGGATCAACCTACTCCGGAAGACCTGGACGGGCAGGCAAGTCACATCGTCGAGCTCTTCTCCCGAGCCATTGAGGCGGTCGGCAAGAAGAGAGGAAAACATGGTAAAGGCGCGGCTTGGTGGACGGAGGAATGCGCAGAGGCCCACAGAGCATACCGTGCTGCCCGCAACCAACAAGCCTGGGAGACGGAGCAAGATGCGCACCTTTATCTAATGGAGAAACGAAAGGCGTTCCTGAGCACGGTGAGGAAGGCTAAGCGAGCATACTGGGCCGGAAAGATCGATGGAGTCGCTTCAGACCGGGACCTGTACCAGATCATGGGTTGGCGGAAGGCGAGCCCACTGACCAGAGCACCCCCATTGGTTGTGGACAACCAGACGATCGAGGATACTGACGAAAAGGCCCAAGCGCTTCGGGAAGCCCTTCTCGACAGGTTTAGTGCGGAAGATGACGCACCGGGTAATCCGTTTGACGTACCCGTCGTCCCAAGGCGAGCGATTACTTGGCAGGACAATGTTAGCGGAGAAGAAGTGAAGACGGCCACCTTAACAAAGACAACGACCCCTGGTGTGGACGGGATCACCACGCGCCTCCTCCAGGCCTGCTGGGGCGTCATCTCGGAGCCGGTCAGGCAGCTATTCCAGTCCTGTATGCGGGCCGGCCACTTTCCTCTGCCTTTCCGCAGAGCTGAGGTGGTCATGATCCAGAAGGCCGGCAGGGATGCCTCCAAGCCCGGGTCCTGGCGGCCGATCGCGCTCCTCTCGTGCTTGGGCAAAGGACTCGAGAGACTAATAGCCAGAAGGATGGCTTCTCTGGCGATTGTCGAGCGCATCGTCAGTCCGCAACAGATCGGAGCTCTACAAGGCAGGTCAGCCGTCGATCTGACGACCTGCCTCGCCCACGATATCGAAACGGCCCTCCTAAAAGGGCTCACGGCGACGCTTCTGACTATGGACGTAAAAGGGGCGTTCGACTCCGTCCTTCGGAACCGGCTCGTCATTAGACTGCGTCAGCAGGGATGGCCACACGGCTTGATTAGACTCATCTTCAGCTTCTGCTGCAACCGCATCGCCAGAGTCCGACTGGAAGAAAGCACGACGGAATACTTTCCTCTGTCATGCGGGCTGCCTCAGGGGTCGCCACTATCTCCCATCGTCTTTCTGCTCTACATCGCGGAGATCCTTGAAGACGACCCGGACGCGCGATTCGGGTACGCGGACGACATCGCCACTCTGGCCATCAGCCCCTCCCTGGAGAGCAACGTCGCAATACTCAACCGAAGCGCAGCCGGCATTCTCAGATGGGGCTCGGAGAACAAGGTCTCCTTCGACCCGAGCAAGTGCGAGGTCATCCACTTTACTAGGAAGCACAGCCAGCCAGCGGAGCTGCCAGAGGTCAGGGCGGGGGATTTGGTGGTCAAGGCCTCGACAAATCCTGTACGCTGGCTGGGTGTCTGGTTCGACAAGAGACTGTCCTTCCGGCACCACGTCGACACAAGAGTAGCTGCGGCAAAGAAGGCAGCTCAACACCTGAGGCAGCTTACAAACACAAAGAGAGGACTGCCAGCGGCCGCCGTGCGAAAAGCCGTCGTCTCCTACGTACTGCCGATCGCGCTCTTCGGCGCCGAAACATGGTACGCAGGTATCACGAAGCCGGCTTCGAGACGCCAAGCGGAGACAGACACGAGTCCGCCTTTCCAAGGAAGACCCGTCAACACAGGCCAGAAGGGGCTCGTGCAGAAGATCGACAGCGTCATTACAGCGGCAGCAAGGATCGTTCTACCTGTCTGGAGGACAACGCCAACCAGTAGCCTCCTCCGAGACGCCGGCTTACCGTCAGCCAAAGTCGCCTTAGAAGGCGTCCGTTTACGGGCCGCAGTCCGACTACAGAGGATTGATCGCCGACACCCGCTAGTCGCGCGGCTCTCCCAGCAGGGACAGCAACAGACGAGACTACAACGGACGGCTGAACTTCTGCCAAGATGCGGAAGACCAACGTTCCTCCAATCACAGTACCTGCCAAGCTCACAGGATCAGATAGTAGTTCAATGCAAAGAAGAGGCTGCGAAAGCTTTCGAGCGCTGGCTAAAGACAGTACCGGAAAGCCATATGATCGTCTTCTCGGACGGCTCCAGGGCGACGAACGGAGCCGTGGGGTACGGCTTCGTCATCTACCGAGACTCCAAACGCATAGCGCAAGGGTGCGGCCGACTCGGACTAGCAGAAGTGTTCGACGCCGAGGTCGAAGGGGCGCGAACCGGCCTCAGAAGGGCTCTGCTCACCAATCGCGGTCATCCAATCCACATATGTATCGACAACACCAGCGTTATACAAGGCATCCGCGGCAAGGCGCCGGACTCGTCACAAGACGCGTTCCTCGAAATCCAAGAAGCGGCCAGGATATTTGATATACGGACGCACTGGTCCCCGGGACACCAGGGCATCGAAGGAAACGAGGCCGCGGACCGGCTGGCCAAAGAAGGAACGACACTGCCGGCGCGGATGGGTCAAATGGCAACACTAGCGGGCATCAAGCGGCTTGCAAGGGAAAAATTACAAAGCCAGCACAGGAGATGGTGGTATAAAGAGCGAAGGCCGCGGTACGCGGACTTGGGGCTTGAGGCAGCTCTGTCCAGCCCTCCTGAACTGGCCTTGCCGCGGGCTACGTTACATCACCTGCTGGCGGCACGATCGGGTCACGGGGACTTCGAGCAATATCACCGACGTTTCAACCACGACGACGCTCTAATGATGTGCTCTTGTGGAGAGGCGAAAGACGTGGACCACCTGGTCTACTGTCGACTAACGCTGGCGAGGAGGCAACGGTGGCCGACCCTCCACTCTCGCAGTATGCCCGAGCCCATAGGTCCTATGGGATCTCTCGAGGCCTACTTCAAGAGATTAATCACCGACCCACGAGGCTTCGAGGCCTTTCTCCGCGTGACGGACTTCTTCCAGAAGATCTGTCTGCGGTAGCAGCATCCACACCTAGGTAGATGTGAGTGCGGACTACAAAGAACCTCCCGATTCCAAGGGACGATTTGGGAAAGAATGAAACTGGGGCACCAGCGGGAACCGGGGACAGACAGAACGCGTAGTGGCCACAAGGCATGATTTGGAGGACGATGTAAAGAGACGACGTACTGTAGAGTAGGTAGCCTTGGCTCACGGCCCTCCACGCCATATACCCTTCGGGAGGTCTGCGGTAAGGGCTCTAGCCCGGCCGCCACGGCGTTAAATACAACAACAACAACAACAACAACAACAACAACATCGAACCGCGCCGCCCACAACTCTCGCTCTGGATACGAGGCCGTCGCATAAAGGACGTCTTGATAAGTGCGTTTTGCAGTTGGCATCACTCAGGAGACTGGGGAAAGACACCTATTCTCTACGTTGTGACGAATGTCTGCACTGTTCATACAAGTGCATGTCAAGATGCCTGTGTCGATCACGTAAGGTCGGTTGGGATTGCGGGTATCTTGGGGTGCCAATGATGTCATCAATGCCTTCAGCACAGTGAAAGGATCGTGAATGGCTTCAGCTAGCCGTACCTATGTAAAATGTCTTGTATGCGAATAGCAAATGTGTGCGGACTCACCAAGTACCCATGCTGCGATCAGCCCGCATCTCTCAATCTGTGAAACGACAAAAATCAAGTTGGTGTTTCAATCAGACATGGCGATGCAGTGCAATTTGAAAGAATCTACTTAGTCGATACAATCTCGTCGCCTCTACATGAGTGGTTACATTGGTGGTTAATACAATAGAGAACCCACACGCGATCAACGATACCTTTTTGGTCACCCTGGCGTTTTTACTGGGGTGGGTGCGGGAGCTGCGGCGGTGGAGTCTCTCATGGGTGTGAGCAACGCCCATAAATGGCATACGTGCGACCTCAGGACGCCTTAAGAGGGATGATGGTTCAAACCTCTGAGGGCACCTCACTAAAATTGCCAGACCGCTTTACACTAGAACTAAGAAAATTTTGTGCCTCAATACTTGCGTCTCATTATTGTTTCGCACATGGTCGAGCTCAGACCTTGTCGTTGACAAAATTGCATGTTTTGGTGCAAACATGGGACGAGCGCTAAATTCACCAATGTCTGGATGGGCCTGAAACAGAAGTGGCTATGTTATCTGTTGTTTCGAGCTCATGAAACGCACGACTATGTGAGAACCCCTGGGATGTTTTGCAGTCTAAGGTAGGCTCAAATCTAGCCAGAACTTCATTTTCTTTTCCCCTAACCTCATACATCATCAGCGATCACTAAGGTACGACGACGAAGCGGCCGCTATCGAGAACCTGAAAAGTGCCCCAAAAGTCCTCGGAACAAGCCACGATGGAGTCAAAACAGGAGGATCATGAGCCTTTCTTAGGCTTTCGGGACGACCCTAACAAGCGAACTTCCGCAGAAGACGAGATGGAAAATAACAGCTCCTGCCACCAACAACAAGCTCTGAGAACATCACGCCATGGCAGGCTTCTTCGAGACGTCCTCGTATTTCTCGCGACATCTCTTCTATGGGTCGCAGCGTTCTACCTTCTAGTGCCCAGTCCTCTGAACCAGAACACGGGCGGCAAGGTCACCAATGGAGAAGACGGGGGAAGTCGAACTCCAACATCGAGTGACTACATCGCAGCTTTCCACAATGTCACTTCCAACGCCGAATATATCTCTTGCGGAAATTCCACAGCCGAGGCGAAGAAGATGGGTTGCAAGTACGATACCCTCCTGAATTATTGGGTTCCGTCACAATGCTACGACCGAGAGTTCGAAACAGAATACAAAGATGACGATAGCTGGAATGCATTCGCGGAGTATGTCAATGAATACTTACTCAAATTATTGTGTATTACATCCATACTAACTAGTACTTTGCCGCAGCCAAAACTTGACTCAGCCCATAGCCGCAGAATCAATGGGTGACCAAAAAGTCTATTATACTTCAATTCGGGACCATCTAAACCACTGTTCGATGCTCTGGAAAAAGCAATTTTGGACTCTTTTCGAGGAACGAACCGCGTTTGATGGCATCATTGTTAACTCCTTCCACACGGAGCATTGTGCCGACTTTCTCAAGGATATCTACGGATCAAACCGAACTGAAGCGACGCTCGTCAGGGTTGGCTTCTCAGGATGCTGGATTCGGAACTTTAGCAAGGATGTCTAGAAGAATAATGGAGAAGGAGGCTCATAGCTGTCGTATCTACACACGCATCTAAATGTCTAGATTGCAATAATCAGTGATCTTCAGCCTCGGCGAGTCATCATGACCAGCCACGCACGGAAACGCAACATGGCTTGACAGCAACCAATCAAGACTTTGACGCAAAGAACCGTTTGATGGAGAGTGGCAAATTAGATCTTCATGCCCGCAAGATGTGTGCCTGAGAAGCTGGCTTCCCGAACCAGATTTCAGTTCCCTTGGCGGCGCACCTCCACACCAAGTCACCTCTTCACACTTCGAAAATTTGTATTTTCTTCGCTATCTTATTGGTAAGAACGCGCAATTCAATCAGAGTTTCTGTGGATGCAGCTTCCCGTAGTCCAATGTTGTGAAGGGGGGGGGGGGTTCTTGTCTTCTTCTGGGTAACATTAGGCTGGTATTGTGAAGGCTTGAAAGTCTACAGCTTCTGACCATTGTCGATCTGGCATTTCCCTTTTCTCGAAAATTCTGTGCATAGCTGTCTCAAAATACACTCAAGCTTTGCCAGTCAATGTGCAGATCGCCATCGTCAAACTGGAACTCACTCCAGTTTAACAACCCCCCGTCAGCCCCAGGCCAAACGTCAAAAGATCCTGGTTCAGTTACTGCCCGAGTTGGGGCCCAGGATGGCTCATCCTCCGTATATCCCTCCTGGTTGCCAGCGCTGACACTGCCTAGACTCTCCAAGCTAAAGAGCCTTGAGACGTAACGACTGCCTCCAGCATTATTCCACTTCGAGCGACGCTCTGTGATGGCGGTAGCCAACGACGTCAATATTTCCAGGTAATGTGCCGCCTGTGGGCTTTGGCCAGCAAGAAATTTTAAAACTTCCATGGCCCCTTGAAATGCTCTATCGGTCTCGAGATCGATGCTGACCTTTGCGAAGCACTCCACTCCGAGAATGAGTCCTGCAGAGAATACTAATGCTCTATGTGGGATGATTAGCATTTTCTCAGAGCGAACCTTGCGGGGAGAGAACAGATGCAGAAACCAGAACAGTTGAATCTTACTTCAGGATACACATGCTTCTCTCGAGTAGCCCAGTATTCAGAGCATCAGCACAAGTTTGTGCCAAATACACGGCAGCTTCGATGCACGCCGCAGCTAGCGGCGGATGATGAATCTTGTTTCCTGCTTGACTGTTGAGGGAGGAGATGAATATCGGCCGTGTTGCCAGTGTGACAGCAAAATAATATAGACAAGATACATGGATCTTGGCAACGGCCATTCGGTTGGCTTCGACGGAATCTGCCAGAACTTCAGGCTGTTCCGGGCCTTCCAAGGGCATGAGGAGATCCCTTTTCCAGCTATCTATATTGACCAGAAGCTGCTCGACGACGGGAACCGTGATATCTTTACCGTGATATAAGGTGTTGTTGATATTATTGATGATTTCAACAATCTCACACGTTGCCACAAGATATTTAGATCCATAGTTGCAATCGGGTGCCAAATCTCCAATCAGAGGCCTAGCATCCGTTCCTGCCGTGGCGGCTGGCCGGCCTAAGAGGGAGCTAACAAGCTTGTCTAGAATTCGCACACTGATCCAGACTCTCGATCTTTAAATCGATGCGAATGTGAGTGAGTTACGACTAAATTTCAAAGATATGTTTTGGTTTGGGATGACTTACTTCAAAAGTCCACACTGATGGGACTTCGGCTCACACGTATACATAGTCTGACTGTGAAGCCCAAGTGCAAGAGCAGCCCTTACAGCAATGGATATGTACATATACGCTGTATTCCTGCGGCAATTCCCAAGCATGTAGAATGCCATGAGCAAGAAAAGTCTGACCATGTCTAAGTCTGGATCTTCTAGCAGTCCAGAGAATGCTTGGCGCTGTGCTTTGCGGAAAAATGTGAAGCTGTGATCTTGAGCTTCTGGTGCGCTGCTGCACTGTGCCCCTATTGCCATTACCATGTCCCTGATGGCATCTGAGAGGTGCGATGAATTTTTTGATGGCCAAGCCGCCTTGTCAGCGGAAGTATTTTCGTCAAAGGGTGATGTACCTCCGATAGAGATGCTGTCGTTTAAGCACATTAAATCCCTTTGATCATCAGAGTCGAGAATGTTGATGAGACCTTCCGTCTGTGGCATGATATTTAGTTATAATCAGAGTTGAGCAAAGAGGTTCTCTCACGATTGTATAGTAACATTTCAAGTAATCGAGTCGTTGCTGATTGCCCAAGTCCACGGCCTGATCTGATGAGATCGACCGCCTTGCCTCCGGAGACTCGGCCTCGAGCATCGTCTCCATTCCATCATTGTGGGAGAAAGGTGAGGGGCCAATCTGTCTCACCACCACCTTTCGGACGGTTTGAAGGAACGAAATTGCCGCAGCGCCTCCAACGAATACTTCCATGTGTACGTTTAAAGTCAGCAATCTCAATAGCGGGCTAGTAGGTTGAATAAACCACCCGACGAATACCTACCTTGTTCACCGTGGGCACTCCGTAGTAATCTACTTGGATTGGCCAGTAGAGAGGATTCCAGCCGAGTATGCTCTCCGGTGTGGGATTCTCGAGGAGGTGTCATGGGACTTTGATGCGCATCAACACAGGGTTTTTCGGATCCTTGTTGAGAAACTGAAGGAGACATTGGAAATGGGTTCGGAGGCGGTTCCGTGTCAATCTCATTGTGCCGTTGCGGACGAGGTTTTGATGACCCGGAAGCGGTTGTTGATACTGTGATGGATCCGTGCTCGAAGGATGCGCGTGATCTTCGCCCACCAGCAGTACTAGCCCTTGTAACTGAGGGCCTTTTCGTTCTTGAACCTCTGGGTAGATACGTCATGCGACAGTCAGGTTCAAGACCACGGCGAACACATTGGTTACAAGGTGCAGTGCCGCTGCACTTCTTCTTGGCTTCGCGGCAGAACCTACATGCCTCAGCAGCACGCTGACGCTGGCTCTCGGGGACTTTGGGGCGAGGCATGATGTGAGGAGCACGAGGAGGTTGAAGATTTTCGTGGAGAAATGGAGATGCGTAAGCCTTCTACAAACGACCAGACGTCGGTCAGTCCAAGTCAACGGGGCCGCCCAGTTGTGCGGAGCACCTGATAAGAGAGAGTTTCTTACTGCAGTAGGCCTATCGGTTGCCGGCTCCCGGACCCTGCACCCCGAACCCCGCGTCCCCACCCCCGCTCACAGTGCCCCTTTCGGAAGTTCCTAAGTGGCTTCCGATGTTAGCACAACAAGAATTAGTTAGTAATTGCTGGTCAGCTGCCTCAGAAACCAGCTCTGATAAGCTATGGCTTCAAGCTCGCCATGTGATTTCCCACGAACACGAAGAGTCGCTCAGATAGTAGTAGCGTTTCCGGCAATCTTATACACTCATCAATCATACTATGCCTAAGTACTCAATCTCGAGTCAGCTTGGTGCTCCTGCGCGCGAAAAATGATTCTTCGTGAGTCTTGCTACATCCATGGGGAAATGGCTGTAATGTAGCCAGTCAATGGTGAAGTCACGAATCAGAGATTGCCTGCTATTGGCTCGTTATTACACACGAATGCATACTGGAGACTCGTATCTGGTATTTTGAAATTACTACTTGTGCTTGATAGTCCGCCTGCAAAGCAATACGATATTTACTGCATCGCCTTTGCGTTCATATGTCTAGTCCCACCTACAAAAGCTCATTTCAATATTGACTTTACGCCTCACTGTCCTTGAAACCCGGCAGCTTGAACAGTTGCTTGGCGTTGTCCCGCCCGATTTTCTTCTTGTCGTTATCATTGATGGGAAGAGCATCGTACCAATCGCATCCATCCGAGAAAGACTCGAAAGGGTAGTCAATCGAAAACAATATGCGATCCGCTCCTACTTCAGCCATGCAGAACTGAAGAGTCGTGGTGGAGAAATGCCCACTGGTCGTGATCCACAAGTTGCTTGCAAAGTACTCGCGGATAGTTCGCTTGCAAGACAGCCCCAGCGGCTTCTTCACATCCTCGAACCAGTGGTTTATGCGCCACATGTCGAATGGTACCTTCTCTCCTAGGTGGCCCAAGATAATTTGGAGCTTCGGATGGCGATCGAAAACGCCATTTGTGACCATTCCGAGGACATGCAGACTGACTCCCTGCGAAAAGCTCAATGGAGGTCCAATGAGCCATGAGCGCTTTGCCCATAGCTTTTCGTGAATGGTTCCGGTGGGATTTCTTGGGTGCAAGTAGAAAGGAACATCAAGTTCAGTCACTGTAGACCAGAAAACATCCCACTCCGGGCCGTCGTAGAAGATCATGTCGTCACCATCAGGGCCTGCCCGCTGAGTGTCGTTGACAAGGGCGCCCAAAAAGCCGTACTCAGTTACACAACGCCTTAACTCTTCGGCAGCTTCCTTGGGGTCATGCATAGAAAGGGTTCTGGCACAGGTTAGCCACAGAATAGTTCAAGTGCTTCCTAAAGGTAGATGACTCACGCAAACGCGCCGAAACGTTCAGGGTGTTTCTTAACCTCGGGAGCAATGTAATCATTGATCTCTTTGGCCAACAACTGTGCTTCCTTCGGATCCCAGATGTCCTGAATCCCAGGTGCTGTGTACGATAGAATGGTGAACCCAACACCGTGTTTGTCCATGTAGTTGAGCCGAATGTCCGCAACATCGGAGATTTCAGCTGCGTGCTTCTCGGGGTCGATGGCAAAAAGTCCTGCCCACCAACGTGTCTTCTCTTGAAACCGTGGGAGAGCAAAGGCTTCCTCGAGCGCAATTTTTCCGAGCATGATGGAGGATTTGCGGGGTTACAAGCTGTTAAGGTGATGGGGGCAGAGTCTGGTTGTTGCTTATGTGACGAGAAGCTGAGGGAGATGAATCAAGCGCAGGTAGTCAAAGTAGCAAAGGATTGAAGATACTTCCGCGTCTGATAGATTCTTGGGGTTCGGCGAGTGTTTAAATCTCAAGTCGATCATAGACACAAAGATAGATGGCCCTCTTGATCCGTAGCATGAGACGATGGCTTCGACCAAG